TATTTGACAAAAAAATATGTATCTTGGTTCAAATAATTAAATTTATGTAATTAGGGGCTAAACTTAGTTAACAATAATATTTCTAGATGAAACTTTCAGGGATGCAATAAACAATATATGGGTTTGGTCAAATAGTAACACAACATGCAATAACTGTTCTAAAAACATGAGCAATAATGTAGCATTCAATAGCAATGAATATCAATAAATGACATTTAAGTAAATAGGAGGAATGATTCACCCAATAAAGGATGAAATAGATGGATGTTCCTCGTGACAATGATAAATGATAGACAAATCCTTGAATATTCGAGTTATTCTCGGATTTGATGGAAATGTATGGGATAGTATAAACAAGAATCTTAGTGAAAATGTGATATTTGTATCTTAGCAAGAGAGAAAGAATCTTTTTGTCAAAGTGAGTTCTTACAAGTGAATATTACATGCCCTCATCATTGTCTCTTTTTCTATATATATGGGATATGTTCCTAAGAAACCCTAATAGTACAAGAGTAGAGAATATCCACGAGAATATTCCCTTTTAATGTCCTATCCTGACAAATTACAGCTCCTATCATCAATATCCAACCTCGACCTCGATCCTTGTTGACATCTCGACCACGACTCTCATCGTCCCTTAGTCTGCGGATCTTTCTACTTCTTGGCCCATCTCGACTATCGACGACTCGAGAATTATTTTTTTTAGTATTATCTTGCCTCAAATATTATAAAGAGCGATTTTTGACCCATACAATGCCCCCTAGTAAGTTTAGTTAATTTAACTTTAGGAGTCAATGTTAATCAATTTTAACTTGAAAATTATTTTGGGTAATATTTAACAACAAAAAATTAATATTTTTAAGTACTCGAGTCTTACATATTTCTTTCTCCGGCAAGTCTTTCATTCGCTTATTTCTCTGAAAGCGATAGTTTGTTTCCTTGGTTGCGAACATTTACGTGCAGGAATTAATCATTACGGGATTAGAGTCCTACACCTACGAAAGAGCCGAGTATGTATGATCAGTATTTTAAAAGGCGTTTTCGGGGCGAGTCCTGGGACGTGGCGCACCAAAAATGCTCCGGGGCGATGGTGTGGGCGCGAGAGTCTCAAGAGGCGTACGCCCAGCAATTCGGGGCGTACGCCCAGGCATTCGGGGCGAGTGTTTTTAGTGAGGCATAAGCCCCAAAGAATTTTTCAAATTAAAATAAATTTTTTTTGAATAAGTACTTCATATAATACCCATATTTTCAAAATTGAGCTTGGTAATTACTCAAAAGTTTTAAAAAGGAATTGAAATGTATTAAATTTAAAATTCAAGATATTTTTTTATTGATTGAAGCCCCAATTCATGGTCTTTCCCAATTCTTTATCTTGTCCGCTGCTAATATCTCCCAAAAGCAACGAATATTCAATTTTTATTTTACAAATACAAAGAGAACTTCATTCTTCTTCATAGCAGCAAGTTCAAAGTTCAAATTGAAGGTTAGTCATCCTTTTTGTTCCTCCATGTGGAAAACTTTATTTTTTTCGACTCAAGTTACTTGAGCTTCTAAGTAGCGTATAATAGATTGTTTTGACTAGTTTTTTGTGGGGATGAAGTTTCATCCCCACAAAAAATTAGTCAAAACAATCTATAATATATATATATATATATATATATATATATATATATATATATATATTCTTTTTCTTGTTGCTAATTTTCGTTTAAACTCATTGGTGCTGTCTAGAGCAGTTTTCCTAACATTATAGAATTAACATTAATCACATAGATACTTCCATATGTTAGTTTCCTCCTCGAAATGAAATATAAAGGCCTTTTATATATTTGTATGTATCAAATTACTCGTATGTGCTACAAAATAGGACGGTTAGTCGGGGTGTACAAAGAAAATCAATAAACAGTACCAAACCGATAATCCAAATTAAACCGAAAAAAACCCGATGTAGTTTGGTATTGTAAAATAAAACCCGACCATAATTGGTTTGGTTTGGTTTTAACTAAAAAAAAGTCAAACCGAAACCAAACCAACCCGATAGTACATTTATATAACTTTTTAAAATATTTTATACATATAAATATTTATTGTAATGTAATTTATAAATATTTCTTAAACTTTTTCACAGTTTTATCTTTTAACATATTATTTCAAGTTTAGACTTAACATTCTTGAATGGTAAATAAATTTTATAGCCATAAATGTAGTAACTCAAACAAAGTTCAAATCAATACTAATGCTAACAAAAGAAATTCAATTTAATACTAGGAATGACGATAGTGTTGGATAATTATTTTAGTTTTACATTGGTTTATAATGAAAATGCATAACTTAGTTTATCTTTTTCTTTAGTGTTTAGTTATGTAATTAATATTAGTACTTATTAGCTATACTTATTTTAGCATGACCTATATAGTATTTTTAGATTATGTTAATTTTTATTATGGCTTATTAATTAGCAATATTTATTTTATGTAATTTTATTATTTTATCTTTGTTATTGAATATTTTAGTATAATGCTATGACTTATCTCATATTATTGTGTTAGTTTCTTGGAAAACACATTATATAGTTGTATTTTACTAGGACTTAAGAAATATTTGGAGCACAAGTTACATATTTTATGCTATGAAGACTTTACCGGAAAAAAACCCGAAAACCCGAAAAAATCTGAAAAACCCGAGGAAAAGCTTTGATTGAAAAATCCGACTTTGTTGGTTTGGTTTGGTTTATAAATTTAAAAACCCGACATCATTGGTTTGGTTTGATAATTGAAAAATCTGAGCCAACCCAACCTATATACGCTCACGACGGTTAGACTTGAACGGGGTCCTTTGATTTCACGTCTAGGAAAAAGTAGAAAAGAGTACTTGAATATGTCTGGCACTAAAGAAAGATCTAAAACTGTTAGAACAAATGCAGTAGGAATTCTAGCAACAATTAACCATGTATGTCCACAGAAAACAAATAGCTAGTGATATTTAATCACAGAGATTTTCTTTAGACAGCATGTTAATTTACACTTCTAATTACTGCAGGCTTAAAAGTTTAATTTAGCTGGAATAACTCGCCGACTGCCTTAATTAACTTTTTCTATCAACTACTCCGCTAAATAAGTAAAGGGTACTTATGTCAGTCTTACCTGTAGATGTGCTGTAATTATTGCATTTCCTTTGGAATTCACGGAATAATAGAGAAATTAGGGTTTATTTTATACTCTCAGATTACTTCATGAAAAGCAATTAAACCTGAAAATAAGGCAAGTAAAATTGCACCGATTAAAAAATTATATTGCACTGATTACCTAAGAATTCATTTACAATAATTAGATAATCCACGAAAAATTATATCAAATTAAGCATTTTTTAAGCTGATGTGCCGCGTGGACTTTTAGTTTATCAATTTTCAAAGATGAAAGATATCAAATAGCAGATTAATATATTTAGACTCCCAATTACCCCTCAACTTTAGGGTAATTTGTCAACAATAATTTAGAAATCTGCTTACATACAATCCTTCTCAGACCTTTTGTGGTATTACACTAGATTGGATTTGTTCTTGTTGTGTGTACTTCTCTACTCCGAGCATTAATTAACTAACATTAGATTCTATACTTGGACATTTAATCATAGACTGAGGCTCAAAAGAAAAGCTGCATGCTAGTAATAAATTTCTACTTATAATGTTTAAATAGATTAAGAATATTGTATATATTATTACACGTTGAAACGAGATTTTAGGGTTAGGTAGGCAAAATAATACTAATACTTAGCAATTAGTTGACATTATCTAATTTTCTTAAAAAGATGATATGTTCTGGAGAAGCAACATAAGAAGAAGAAAGAAAAGGGATCAGATGGCCAAAAAAAAAAAAGAGAGATTATTATATGTATGAGATTGTAATGACTAAGGAATTATGTGTTGACATGATTGCTGATCGACGAGCAAAAAAGACAAAGAAAAATATATAAAATTCAGCTGTATAAAATATCAAAATTTAAAGTGAGATTTAAAAAAAAAGTGGGAGAAGACTAAACCCTAAAAGTAGATTGGTTAAATTTATAATGCAAGTTTCCTACTGGGGACCCGCCTATAAAGCATTGCATGCATGTGGTCCTTTTATTTTTCCTATTTCGTACACAGAGATAAAAAGATCAAAAAAGCTTCCAAAACCCTAATTATCTTTTGTACCACATGTCTTGAGTTCGTCATCTCCTTTTCATGATTTATAAGGACCACAAACTATCTTTTTTCATTTTTAGCTTAGGATTAACTCCTCCTTACAACATATTTTTTGTTGGATCCCAAGGAAACTCCAACAATTGCCTCAAATCTCCATCTCTCACTTGTCTCTTTCAACAACGGCACCCCTTCCATCTTCTACTAAATCTACTCCTATCTTTCGTCTTTTTTTTCTTCTCCTAGGCAACACAGAGCATTATGAGTTTTAGTTGGGGGTTCTAACCCATCTCATTTGATTTATTGGGTTCCAAATCTATGATTTATACTTATTTAGTAATTTTTTTAATATATAACTAAGGTTTGAGCAAAAGCTAATCAGTTCGATGAACCCATAAAATGTAGTATGCAAGATCCTCCCTGTACTTTACCACATTCATCATTGTTCTAAAATTGAGATAATTTTAGAGTTTAAGTTCTATTCACTAACATGTATAATTTTCTTTTTATAGAAAAACTATCAAGTGGCCTACAAAAAAAAAATTAATAACAAGTCTAACAAGGTAATTTGGCAAATAGAGCAATTACCATATATAACCAGTTAAATTACACCAATAATGCAAAGATTTGCACTATATATTATCTGTATATATATACCTTAAATCATAATTTTATAGATGAAAAACATGCCGAAATTGTAAAAAGAAAACAAGGAAGAAAAAGCCATCATTAGCTTCCATCTAATTAATTAGGGCTCCTTGCTAGCATTATTGTGCATTCAGAAAAAGCTCGATGAATCCATAGCAACTTAACCAAGGAATAGCCTGATGCCAAAAAGATATATATATTGCCTTCTATCCTTACAACGCTATAATATAACATAAGAATACAACTCTGATCTTGGTGTACATTGAAATAAAACAAGTGATCTCAAACATGGAGATTTCCATTCATGGGTATTATACCAATGGATTTCATATATAGGAATTATCAGCAGAATTTAAAAAAGAACCCATATTTGTTATTTTATAATGCCGGTATGGAACTGTTCAGGCAATGAGTCACATACCTCTAGTCTTGAATAGCCCGCAGCTTAATGAAGCTAATTCATAAAAATGAAACATCCGAAGTATAACAAAATCACTCTGTCTGATCACTGATCTTTATTTGCTCTGATATTATGCTCAAGTATGTAATCATTTTATGTAAAAGCTCAAGCTCTGAAAGACGACGCACACTATGTTTTATACTTAATACTGTCTTCAACAGAAAGGATCATCAACAACAATCTCAATTGGAATTATGAAACTCCCTATCCTCGTTAGGCTCCCTTCCTTCACTATTTTGAGATGGTAGAAAATGGAAAGGTCTTACATGAGATTGGTTAGTGGAGTCAATAGAATGTCTAAAGGAATTAGCACTTGACATGGGATTTTCTGAACTCAACATTTGAAAGTTGATTTCTCTCGGATCAAACTGATCTGATGATGCTCCAGCATTAATATTATGTGGATGGAAAAATGATTGTGGTAATCCTTGTGGATAAACAAGAACTTGTGAACCTATTGGCATAGACATTACATTGAAGTTGTGAATATCTTCATGTTGATGAGATGATGAAGTCACATTATGATGATTTTCTGAATGAGCTAGGGATAAATTTGAAGGATCCCATTTCAAGAAATTAGAATTATATGGTAAAGCAACATTATTTGATGGTTCCAATGGAACATCCCAATTGATGCTGGTACTACTCGTGTTCTTAAGACCGACCTCTTTATTAATTTGAGAACCTCCAATTCCTAACATAGAATAAAGATTTGGGTTCAAACTCCCCGGTGGAATTTGCAATGGAGGCAATTCATCAATTTCATGCTTAGCTGCATTAAGCAACCAATCAACAACTTTGCTAGGTTGATTAAGCCCTAATCTGTCTTGAAGATCATATAATTGAATAGCAGTTGGAACCGAAAGCCTTACTCGTCGATCTCTTAGCCCTCTTACAGTGCAAACTTTACTGTGCCTATCTTTTCCTCCAAAAGCTCGCGAAACACGAACAATTCTTGGATCTTTTAGTCTTGTCCATGATGTTGTTGAATTAGATGAAGAAGAAGCCTTATTATTTGGAGTGCTCTTATTGCCATCTTTATTTGGATCTCCCTCTTGCTTGTTTACTTCTCTTGTAATCATCTTATAATGTTTCTCATAATTGAGGGGAAAACAGTTTCCCTAGGGATATGATCTTCTGAACAAAAAGGTAAATTGCTTACTCCTTTTTTCCTGTAATATCTCTGTGGTTTTGTTACTCAGACTAAAGTTTCTTTGTTCAGTATGCTAGCTCCGTGATTTCTGTTTGATACTCCAAGACAAAAACAAATAAAAGTACATATAATTTAGTATAGACAAGAAGTAAAACCAATTAATACCCTAAAAGCTTTTTCTGCTCACTTATACAACAACGTCTCAATCTCAAATAAGTTGCAGTTTAGGATTAAGTCATAATCGTTGTTATATCTACAAAAGAAAAAAAATCATCATAAAAGTAATCCTCTTTTTTTAATCCAGCAACTCAAAGAAGGGGGTAAAAGAGAAAAAGGAAATCATGAAATTGCAAGTATAAGCATTTAAAAATCATGTACAAACACACTGAGAATGAGATATAACTAGCTATAGTAAAATCTCTTTAACTTGGCTTTAATTAGAAATACGTGATATTAAGGTAAAGCTTGAAAATTGACATGCCCTAACTTTTTGTAGAAGAACAGGAAATACTAGACACAGGCTTACCCCATAAGTTTGATGATCGCTTCAATCAAGTAAAGAGAGCTGCTCTATCTGAAGGGGTAGTGCTTAATTTCCTCAATTCTGTAAACAGTTCCAAGTTTGTATGAAGGTTTTGAAAGAGGAAACTCTCTTTGATTTCAGAGGACAAACATTATATGGAAACTAGATGATGTGCTAGTTGAAAGAGAAGCTAGATGCTGGAGTCCAACCGACCATTTACATAAGAAAGAAAGCAATGGACCACAGGTTGCCACGTATAGTTTGGCATCTAACAGATAAATAATGTGCCCGTCAATTTCTTCTATCAAATTCTCATCACGCTTGCTGAGCTATCATGGCCCTAGCTTAATGAATAATAACTCAATTTTCCTTTGCTTATTTTGCCAAGATTAGTAATTTTACCCGTAAGAAACAAGTCCTTAATTAGTAATGAAGCAAAGATGTTATCTTTTCAAATGTTTTGGGGACCGTTTTTATTTAACATAGAGAAAAGTTGGCCGTGATGCTTTATCGACAACTACAAAAGGCAGGCATTTTTGTTGAATTCGTATATATCAGATGGGTCGACAGAAGCACGCCTTCCTACTGTGATTAGTTAAAAGTCTCTCACCATATATCAGAAACTCAAGTTTGTTTGTATATTTGTGTCAAATTCAGGAGGTTTCAGGCGTACAAGGCCTTTTATAATATTGAATTTAAGAAAATGTCTTTTTTAGATCTCTTACGTGTAAAAGTAAATCTCTCATATGTAAAAAAAAAAAAGATAGGGTCATAAAATTAATAATAAATTTGTAAAAGGCCAAAAAACCAATTGACCTAAAATTCAGCTCAACATACACAAGTATGTCAACATTAATCTTCAAGTTTGTATTCAACAGAAATTAAGTTAACTTAAGATTTCAAATGAGCTGATCACATGCACTTCAACATAGTATCAAAACAAGACTCACATCAATACTTGGTTCTCCCGATATTGAGCCCTCATATTATGTTGCCCATGTTTCAGTTGCCAGGCCTGGGCGTTCGGCGATGTTTAGTTCTCCTTGTTGAATTGGTCTTCTTATATTGTGTAGGACAATTATCCTCACATTATGAAATAGTCTTTTAGGTTGAGTCAGGCCGAAAAGGTTCATTTTTTAATATGGTATGAGCTGACAGAGGATCTGCATTCAAGTCTCATTGCCACCTATTATAAAAAAAAAAAAAGAATTTTCTCGTGATGCAAAAAAAAATAGGTCAGCACGTAAAGGGATATATTGATGATATAATTAAGTTACTAATTAACATATAATCTTTCTACGGTTTAAACTTTTAAATGAGATGCCGATAACACACTTCAACAAATAATGCTACACAATAGTGGGCATAGTTTCTTGAAGTTGCTATGCTCGATTTTCTCTTATATTTTGATCATTTGCTAGCTCATATTTATAACTAACAACCAATATTAGTTGCATATGATCTAGGAATCTTGATAAAAACTCTTTTAATAGTACTAGGAGACAGAAGAATCTAAAGATCATTGCACAAACGAAAAGTTAATTACGAAGATAAGATGGTGTTTGCTTTTACTGCAATTGCAAATGTTATTGTGATAGCTACATGAAAGGGAGAGGAGAAGACTTTCCAAAGGGGAGGGACCAAACTGATCATTTTCTTTACAATGCCCACTCAATAGATTAAGGACCACCTATCGCACTGTATTGCAGAGAGATTTTGCACGGACCGAAAAATTGAATATATCTACCATAGCAATTCACTCCGTAAAGAGAGAAAAAGTAAAATATTTGGGTTTATCTGCTAAAAGAAATGAGAATGGATTAATTTCTTTTTAGCTTTAGATGTCCGTTTTAGCTTTTCTCTAAGTAACTAAACTAGTTCTTTTTTAAAACTAGCATTGATTACCGCTAATATAGCTTCTTACACCATCGACACGCAAAGACCCCACTTAGGAGTCCCTCGCTAATGTTTTAAACTTTTAGCTGAAATTATACCACACTTCAACATAGTATAAGATTAGATAATGGTGGAGCAACAAATTTATATAAGAGGATTCAAATGTTTATATATAACGAAAAAGTTATTTTTACTCAATTTGCACAGTATAATTTTTTAATGAACGAGTTATCAATTGAACGTCTTCGTTCTTAATTACTAGCTTCGCCCTGATAGCCTATAGAGGTCTTCGTTTCGAGTCTTATTGCCAATCATTTATTAAAAAAAAAAATCACGTGTTTTGCCTATGATAATTAATCAGGCATATAAGGGGGTGTTAAAGATATAATTAGATAATTAAGAGTAGTGTCATCTCTCTGACTAATTATAACAACTTAAACTTTTAGATGAGATTGTAAAACACTTCAACAATGCATATTGCATGTAGAAATGTAAATATTTATGAAGAACGCCAGTTTTCGAACACTGAGGAACTTGACTTTCTAATTAATCATCTAGCTAGCAGAAGAGATTGTTTTTTAGGTATGTTCTCAAGAAAGTCAAAGAAAGAGAAATTGGCAGTAGCATAAAAAGGTTCACATTACAAGAACTCATGGCTCTATTGAAAGAGAAAACAAGAAACATATAAGATTAATATATGACGGCATAATAAACTACATAATTTTGTGAATTAATTGTACATCTTATGTGCAGGAAAGCATACAGCCTTTTTTAATTGAAGCATCAAACACCAATTTCACCACCTATAAGTTTTTAGGATAACAAACCTAAACTGATTGTTATACCGCAAGAGAGCAAGGGAATAGGGTTCTGTCATTTTCTGTATGCAAATGGCAAGTACTACCGAAGGTTAGCAAGAAAAGAAAGAGGTGTTGATATTCATGTAAGGACTCAAAAGGTCTATTTACCCTGCAATATGAACAGGGAAAAAGTGGAGGATCTCAAAATACTTTTACACTATGTGATGTAACATGTAATAACAGTTTAGTCATCATTTTTGCAGGTTACCATTTCTTAATATTTATCATACAAATCTATTTTTAATTTTTTGTGATTGTGTAAATATTTGTATAGTTTATTGTATAGAACTTAACACTTTTAGGACAAGCTACGTTACAGACGTGATTAAAATTGCCAGTTCAATGGTCCCGGGGCAGATTCAGAGGAAGTCCTTTAGTCAGACTTTACTTTCTTCAGAGCAGCTAAATGCTGGCTAATGAGTACTAATGCTCATCCCATTGATATTAATGGCAATACATGCATATCCCCATCGTCTGATTCTCCTTGAAATAATTGAATTTTGTTCCAGTCCACAGCCGCAAGTTCCACCGACCCTTTACTGAAAATGTTGAAATACTTTTTTACACCTTTATCATATGATGGATTATGAATTCGATTCCGTATTCAACTTCTCCTTTACTAGGTCTTTGTTTTCCTTCTGCTTGTGCTCCTTGACGTTAGTTATTTGTTGTTTTCAGTAGTTCATAAGTGTTAGGAGTAACATGGATAGGATAAGAGCGTTTTGTATCCTCTCAATATATCATGATATTGACATCCTTTAATCAGTGATAAATATATACGGCTGCAGGCGAAAAGTAAAGGGAGATTGGCCAAACTATAGTTAAAGCGGACGATTTATGAATGCAAATTAAAAGGGGGAGGGGCCATCTTGGACTTGCAAGTGCGCTTGCTAGCTACAAGTAGTCTTCCAATCAAGTTGAGATTGGTTATATGAATTTTTTTTCTCATATTACTCCGATCCATTTAAGTTAGTCTTAATCAAGGGCGGAGCTACATGTGTTAAAGGCGGGTCAACCAACCACTCTTCGTCGGAAAATTACACTGCGTATATAGGTAAAATATTAGATTTTAGAGGTATATAACATATATTGAATACTTTTTGTAGGAGAATTTTTTCATTTCTTTCAAGTTAGAACACCTTTGAGGAAATTTCTGGCTTCGCTACTGGTCTTAATTATTATAATCATTGTTTGTTTACAGATATGTACATAATGTAGTCTTGTCCCACATTGGAATAGGAGTACTATGTCCTTGTAGAGTATAGTTATAATTAACGACCTCTCGTATTGTATTCTTTATCTAATATCAATAATATATTTTCTCCCATGCTTTCTCACATGGTATCGGAGCATTAGTGAGAAACATGTCGCTGTGCATCATTCCAGCGACTTCCGAGAAGAAAGACCTCTTCGCGTGCAATTTTTCGGCGACTTAGAAGGTTGTCCGTAAGCAAATCACTTTTTGTTGGTGCTGTGCAAAAACCAACACCATTATATTATTCTTTAGATAAAGAAAATCCCTGATTACCTATAGTCTCGGTCTGAGCAACGTAAGCATTTTTGGGTGGACGACCATGTAAGGAATATCACATTTCATGAGTGTGTCCAAGTTTGTGACAATAAGAATACTTGGGTCTAGATCTTCCAAAACGACCTCCTTGTCTATTCTCCATAGTTTGAGACGCCCGAATCAAGTATATGTGATGAGATCACTAGATGACTTAGTGTTGCAGCAAGGCGGAGTAATCGAGAGAATAATTCATTAACTGCGGGGACAGTCGGACTAGCCAAAATCTGGTCGCGTACTGAATCAAGATCATTAGGAAGTCCAGTGAGGGTAAGAACTAGAAACATCTTCTGTCGCTGCTCTTGTTGTTTTTCAACACTAGCAGAAACTGGCATCAACTTCTCAAATTCCTACATGACTGTCTGTACTTGACCAAAGTAAGTAGACATATCTAATTCTTGCTTCTTTAAGTTTGTCATCCGCGATATCACATCATAGATGCGATATATGTCATTAGTGTATAAGGTACGAGCCTTTGCCCAAACCAACTAACATGTCTGGAATGGACGAAACAAGGGCATCAATTTGGAATCAATAGATCGCCACAAGATGCTACATAACTGAGCATCGATCTTTGCCCAAAGTGCTATCGCATTTTCATCTTCTTCGCTAGACTGTTTGATTAGATGATCTTGAACACCTTGACCTTTACACCACAATTCAACAGATGAAGCCCAAGCTAAGTAGTTTGAACTTCCTATTAAAGATTCCGAGGTAATCATAACACTAGAACTTCCAGAACTCATGTTTCTAGACCCAAAAACATCAAATCCCAAAGACATCATTGCAAATTCTTACCAAATAAGAGAAAGAATCAACTGTAATCCACTAAAACAGAGTAAGGAAACACTGACACAGAATAAGGGAATATTGTAGTCGTC